AGAGAGAGAGAGAGAGAGAGAGAGAGAGCGAGAAAGAGAGAGCAAGTAAGAGAGAGAGAGAAAGAGAGAGAGAGAGAGCGACAGAGAGATAGAGAAGAGAAAGAGGGAGAGACGGAGAGAGAGAGAGAGGGGGAGACAGACCGACCAACTGACAGACCACCCACCTGTCTGTGACAGACTGACCGACAGATATAGAGATAGATACAAATTAATGCATCAAACCTATAATGTAATAAGTTCACATACTAAATCAAACCGATTATCAGAATTTATTTATTATACTGTAATTATGAACAAATTCTTGGCATTCAATCTTTAAAGTAATTGAAACTTGGTTTCGAATTTGTCCTGCCACAAGCATAATCCTCTCACAGTGCTAGAAATATCATTAAATCTTAATCTTTCATCAGCAAAGCTAGGGGGCACTTAATTAATTCTCGGATTAATATGACGACGATTCACTTGTTTCAAGAAAGGTTACTCCACAACGATACTTTGTATGTATATTCAGATCAGCATCAGACATTCTTCTATGTATAAGCTGGCATTACAAAATATGACTGTACAGAACGCAGGTGCTAAAACAGGAATACCTGCATACAGTGGCCACATTCTTATATACCCATCCTGACTGGCAACATGGCAAAGAGTTGCCTTAATTTCCAGTTCCTGTTCCTGTTCCACCCTGTCCTACCCACTGCATGCACCAACCTCATCATCATCACCATTCCCATCTTCATTGCTATCGTCCTCCCTGTTATCCTCCCCCGCCTCCTCCTCCTTCTCCTCTTCCTCCTCGCTCTCGGATTCACTCGACTCGATCCACTCCATTTTAGACGGGTCTCCGGCTATTATGGTTCTCCACTCATCCATCCGCCGCAAGTCAATGGAATAAAAATCACTCAACGTTGTCTCCTTCTCTTTCTCCTCGCTTACCCCTAATGAGAAATCACAACAAAAATTGTGGCAAGGTCTGTGAGCACTGACCATATGATCGGAATATGATTGGAAAGACTCATGTAAATGCTGCTGGCTAGGTTTTATCCTTGAAGTGCAATGCAGGAAGTGTGATCTATCAACGATCTATAGGCAGAAGAGTGTCAGCATAATTAAATGTTTGATGATGGAAATCTATAAACTAGGAGCAGCATCTGCTAGCATTACCTCCGTACAAGTACAGAATCCCCCGCTTAAATGCCATCGATGCATTCATGCGTGGACTGGGTCGGACAATCTGTTCGGTAGATGTGGTGGGACTGGTCAAGTGATCACCTAGAGCTGAATGGCTTGCTGCTCCCATAGATACCTGAAGAAATAATTAGACCCATTTTAATGCTTTATTTACTTTTAACACTCTCTTAATTACTTAATTAGGAAACAGCACAAAGAAAATAATGCAGGCCAATAAGTTATGAATAACGAAAAGTGATAGCATCACAATTTCTAGTCTATTTCCTGGAAAATGTGAACAAGCCCCAAAATAAAAAACATTATACAAAACGTTTATCCACTTCATCCACTTGTGTACAAAAATACTACAGAAATGTTGTAGAATTGAAAGCTCAGCTACCTTGAACACCCCATCATCATACACTGTTTGAGGCCCATGCATCGATACATCATTCACTGACTGTGTTGGATGCTCCGCTAGTTCTGAGGCAGTTGTACTGCTAAATAGATAACATATAATTATGAAAATAAAAAGTCAAAGAGAAAATCTAGACAGTCAATATGTATGACCCACGTAATTACAGTCAACTGTCCCAATACCGACCATCCTCTGGGACCATCCATTTAGTTACGTTTTCTGTGAAATTTGGTTCACAGGGGGGGCATCTTACACGTCTCAGATGGTGTTGGGACTTTAAAAAAATTGCCTGATTTAACGTGAGGTTTGGTTTTGAGGGCATTTCGGAATTTGAAGAGTTGACCGTATATATGCTAAGCACTAACAATTAGCAAAAATTTGATTGTATCAAAACGTATTCAGTAATTTCAGTAATACAAATATAAGTATTGCACAGTGGCTTACACCACATCGCCAAAACAACTGACCATTAACTAAATGACTCTTCCTAGACGATAATAAATGGAAGGCATAATTTATATTCCAAATATATATATATTTACTTATCAAAAATAAAATAATTTTAATGTGTAACTTATTTTGAATATGATGCCGCAATAAAATTTCAGCCATTATAAAGCTCGCATGACCATGTGAAACTTGAAAGAGAAGAGAAATAAATTAACTTCAATTGTGTTGTTTTATCAAATCTCTAGCTGTAGTGGTACCCTAGATATTGCTTCTCGAAGATCAATGACATTTATTTTGGTCCACCCTATATGTATATATATAAGCTACCTGCCATCTTTTAATTTCAACTCATTCAAGTTGTCTTCGAGATCTTCCTTCTCCTCTTCACCAGCATCATCATCTCCTTCCTCCTCCATTGCATCGTCCCCTCCCTCCTCTTTATCCTTCTTTCGTCGGCGTGCTTTTTTCTCAAATGACCTTTTGCCCTTAAGTTCTAAATCTTGCCATTTTCCTTTGATAAGGTCCAGTTGGTAAAAATCATTCAAGCAAGTTCCTATAAATAAAATTTATATTTACATTGTGGTGTATAAGAAAGAATTTGTTTGTTATTATATAATTATTAACTCTTTTTAAAGGAACTCTTTCTCTTCTCATTCTATCATCCCAATATATTATTCAGTCTATGGATGATGACATTGATGAAGTACATTGAACACAGGGATACTACTAGTCTAATCCCAAGCTAAAAACAAATGTTTTTTTTTCCAGCGGTATACCAATTCATAATAAATTCATTACCTAATCAAATGAAAACTATTAAAAGTCGCACCGATAGTCTCGTTCTAGTACAGTAACACCAACAACATGCAGCGATTGACGTGCGGCCATGCTGCCACCCACCCACACACACACACACACCTAGGAGTTCCTCATCATCCTCTTCAGTGTCCAGTACACCTCCGAAGACAACGGCCCTGTTGTTGGGCAGTGTGGCTAGCGAGAACCCGCAGCGCGGGGTCGGCCGCACTCCGCACTGCTTGACCAGCGTCCATTTCCATCTCTCGCCCTTCTGCTTCACCGGATCGCCTTGCTCTGCAGTGCGAACACGTTGCGGTTAATGACGTCACGCGTAGCATTCGAATTTCTGCAGCCACTTAACAGCAGCCGGCAATCTCAGAGGTTCTCAGAGCCGTAACTGATCGTGAACCAGGGCAGGCTTTGCTCACTGCTGCGCAAACGATCCTCCCAAGGAATTAATTCGCATTAGATCTTACCTAGTAATGCTCACATTCTGAAACTAATTACCTGAAATTGTAATAGCATGCCCTTACGTATTACCAAGTACGCATGGAGCAGCCGAATTACTATCTTTGGTATACATTGTTGATAGCAGCCTTAGACTCAGTGTCCATGTTTCTGCATGTGTGCCTGCATGCATGCAACATGTGTGTAATCGTATGTTTGTTTGTGTGCATGCATACATGTGTGCATGCGTGTGTGTGTATTTGGTTGTTTTTGTGTGCATGTGTGAGAGAGATACAGTGCATACGTGCGCACATGCATGCATGTGCATGGATGTGAAATTAATGGTATGACCAAATATTTGATAAAATAGTAGATACCAACACCCTAGGATTGATATCAACAGAATATACAAACAACACAAATTACCTTGTTGAACCACGAGCTTATCATCAATTTGCTTTGGCAATGCATCACTTAGAGTCTTGGACCATGACACCATATACGTTTCATTTAACACCCACACATGCTGATTTAACTGACTCTATTCTGCTCATAATTGCAAAAACTGAACAATAAATGATCGAGTATATGTTTTCCCTACAAAAAATGAAAAACCTTTCATGCAATTTACAGATACCATAGAGTCATAGACGGAAGAGTACATAGCTGCATGAATTAGGGTGATTCCTAACTTAGGACCCTAGTATATACATGGTTTGATTAGGACATATAGGTAGGTATGGTGATGATGTATCACTATGGCAATAATCATGTGTGTATGGGGTCCTAAAGTAGGATTTAGTGCACGAATTGGTGGCAAACCTACTAGCATCCAAGCCTAGTATGAACATATCGGAGTGCACGGTGCCTTTGTCAGCATCTTTCTTCACTGGCACCTTGCTATAGCCACCATACACAAGCAACCGTCCATCAGTTAGTACTGCCATCTGGTGGCCAGATCTCGGGGCTGGTTGAGGTCCGCTTGGTTCAACCCGTGTCCACATGTATGTCTCAAAGTTAAATACGTAGACATCATTGAAGTACTTATAATTTCTACACTCCAGAAGAAAAAGCAATGAATATATTCATGGTTAGTTAGTTATAATAATTTCATGCATTTTGTTATAAACTGAGAAGAGTGTAAACGTTTTGGATGTAAAATCTTGAACAAAGAAGAAATTCATTTTTTACATTTGCCTCTTTATAAATTCCATAATCATGTTATATTTTCTGTATTATCTGGCTACCTGATATTGTCATGGAAACCGCCAAACACGACTAATTCTTTTCTAGAGGCTAGCATTCTGTGACCACTTCTGGATGATGGCCCTCCATGTGCACTAAAATCATAGAACAGGCAAACATCAGCTACAAATAGATCTTTGACTAATTTTCCAAATTCTGCACTGAAACATATAACATTTGATAGAAGCTAGATCACACCCAAACTCTGAATAGATATGTTGCATCAAAGATCGCAATTAAATTCATATAGAAATACTTACAATGTACCATGTAAAACTCCAGCAAATCATTTATGTGTCCACTACAACTACTGTACTGATGTTATGATTACAGCATATGCATTTCCTTTGTCATTTGCTCATGTATTCTCAGAAGCAAGAATTTTTAAAACTGTTTCATAGAAATACAATAAAAGCCTACTTGATTTTCTCCCACTGCTTCTTTGAAATGTGATACACCCAGAGGTCCTTGTAATGATAAAACTGTGACTGGGTGGGGCTGGCGAATTCACCACCAAAAATCCACAACTGTCCACCTTCCTGTTGCATTGCCACAGCCTGAAGTAAAGAAGTGCAAACAATCTTATCACAAATATTACGTGTACATTCTCCCTTGTTTGACTATGCTAATCAATTACATACAACATTAACACGGCACCAGGAGTAACTTAATTAATAGGTTAACATCTGTTAATCTGTTACTTAATGACTTTTGTTAATTATAGTACTTCCGATGACATCTTGGTCATTTCCTGGCAAACATGCTATCTGAACATCATGATTCTAAATGAGAAAATGGCAACACTGAAACGGGTTACGTTCATTATTATATGAAAACACTAAATGCTGTGTACAAGCAGGTGCTATTGCCATGTTCTTATATTAATTATCTCATAGTCAAATATTCTACAAACTAAATGTCTCCAACTAAGACTCTGCTAGCTTAACAAAAACAGAAGTAACACACTTGATGGGAACATCTTGGTGGTGGAACCAATGGGGTCTTGACCAACCTCCACTCATCATGCTTAATGCTGTACACATACAAATCATTGTACATGAAAGTCTGTAAAACCAAATGCAACCAGAACTTAAATACTAACAGTTCAGCCTACAATTAAGTTGTTAGCAAATCGCTACTGAGTTCATCTATTCCATCTGGTGCTACATGTAACAATGCTACCTATACATAGCAGAGTGTGTCAAAACAAACTACGAAGTGTGGAACTATTATAATATCAAGAGCGTATTAAGAATATATAACACTCTTGATAATATACATATTCATTTAATTGTTATGATAAGGGAGATCTCCAAACAATAAAATTATGCCTCACCTTGTTACCATTGAAGAACTCGCCACCAAACATAAGAAGTTCATCATTTTCAGGATGTGGAGTCAGTGACATGTTGCACCTGACAGGGAAATGTAAGCTTCCTAGCATCAATCATGCTATCATGTGTTGTTGTGCATAATGATTGGGACAAACCACACAACTTAACGAAATTGTTTTAATGTTTAAAGCATTAAACTATCAAATCTGCTTACCTATATCACAACACCAACATCATTCTCGTATATGGTTTAAGTGAGCAAATATCTAAAGAAAAATCTATTTCCAAGTTATATTTACCGTGGTGATGGAGGTTCTGCAATCTCTTCAGTTATCTGTGCACGCTTTTTATCCTGCTCTACAAAGTTAGCGATCAGTTGTTCTATATCATCCTGAAACAAGTAAGTATTGAAGCATTTAACAATGTATAGTAATCTTTATCTTTTGATTACTAACATTAATTTGATTTAATGAATCTAATCAGTGTGCTATATAAATCTAAAAGTTTAGTTACAACTTGCACCACTACATAATAGTGGTATAAGAGTGTTATTACTTATTAGTAAATTGCAGTACCTGATGTATATAATTTAGAAGAGATAAACAGGACAGGTGACAACAACACTGACCCCTAGCAGTGAACCAGTCAGGTGTCAGTGGAGTAGGAGATTTATAGGAGAGGACAAATGAATGATGCCTTCAGTTCCATCAGAAATTTTTAGGGCCACCACAGCATGGTGGAGGGCCACCCAGGAAACAATTTTATTCAAAGAAGGTTAATCGATGCCACTTACCTTTTGAAAAAAAATTATCTGAGAAAAAGAGGGACACATGCATAACATTACATTTAAAGGAAGTGCCGTGCACAAAGGCAACCCATGTAAGGAAACCACATTAGTTTCAAGGCTATGACGGCAAGTACGGAGGGCAACCAGGCTCCATTTCCCATCAGCATTGTTGTGAAATTTGTGCTCCGTTAGGTCACACCCTAATTAGACTCATAAATCAATACATTGTCAGTTACGATCGGCAGTTATTAGATCTCCTTAAAAATTCCATAAAAAGTTGGAAATGCTGATGTTTATAAGTGTGATTTCTATTGACTCACAACACAAATTTCCACTGTCCACCTTGTTTGTCAAACCCCAGTTTTAGGTGAAATGACCGTTTGAATTGAAACATTAGATAATGTATGCCGTGAAAATACCTATAAATAGGAATGAGTGGATCAGATGCAAGCCAAAACAAGGTAAAAACTAGGCATGAGGTAAAAATGGCCTCGTCACCTAAAATGTTGGTTAGCAAGAAATGATAGCCTAGCTCCAATTTAAATTTTTAACATAGTCATAATTTTCCTAACTATTATTGTGGTAAGGTATTGAAGTTCAGTACACTCATGATTGAAGGAACATATAGGTGTCATCAGTTCACATAACCTGGGGATAGTAAATCGAAAATAATATTGTAAATACAAACCCCATCCCCCACCTCCCGAGCGCATCGATCATTCGCACATAACTGCTCGTCGATTACTCGTAATTAGCTGTGACAGCTCCCCCAAAGTCTCAATGTTTATCTACTCTCTTTCATCTATTATTAGTAATAGTTCCCTGTAAATGTAGTTCAGATCCTCCTCTGCAACACATCATTTCACTGGACACACGCCACTGTTCACAAACTCACAGAAAGACAGAGCAGTTAGGAAAACAAAAGTGTCAAATTCGCACAACACCTGCTTCGTTTGAAACTATCACAGCAAAAATGCACAAACAATTACCCCCATTCTGTTATCTATGCACAACCAAATGTTCACTTGCTTAAACGATCACTTTTGCCATTTGGCACAACTTATTTTACCCTCTCGAGAAAGCTAGTAAATTCCTGTAAAAAACTCCTACTCCTTGGCAATGTAAATAGGGGCAACTGGCCATTTATTATCTAAAACTCCCTAACCGCGCCATGTGACTGATGGACCCATGAACGAAAGGTGCATTTGTTTGGGAGGATCATATGATCCTGATGCTTGGATCAAGCTAAGTGATCCTGTGCGCTTGTTTGGGCCGATCAGTGATCTGGATCACAAATTCCAGAGCCTGCTTGCGAGGTGGATTAGCAGGGGATCCAATATGGTGGCGTGCGACCCAGCCAATCACAGATTGTTGTTTATTACAAACCATTCTATGATAGGTCACAGAAAAACGTGAACCGTTGGAAGTGAGTTTGCATCTGTTTGGGCAGATCAGGATCAAGTGAACCAGACAAGACGGATTTCGTCCTGAATAAATGCACCCGTAGTCGTGTATGTGATGTCAATCCTGCGCAAATCATGATGGCTTGCCGAGGAAGAGAGTGGCGGGCTGGTCATGGAGCTCAGTTTCGCTGTGATGTGAAAGCGAAGCAAGCATTGTGCAAATTCAGTACTCATGCTTTCCCACTATTCTATCTTTCTGTGAGTTTGTGCACAGTGGCATGTGTGTGATGAGACTGCATGTGTGTGTCATAAGCCATAAGGACCACGAATGGCCTTTACGTGAAAGGACTAGCCGATAGAGAACACATACATTAAGTCTTTGGTAATACATACAATTTTTCTTTATTTACAATTTTTAATATTGAATCGGTCCAAGTGTCTGTGCCTGTGGTGGAGTGTCTGAAATAACTAAAGTTGGCTTGAGCCAGCATAATATTGTAAATCAACTGACAACTGCCCAAACACTAGCTCCAAGAAACGGTATTGCTAGGGTTAGAATACCGTGTTAATACCGTTAGAATACCGTGTATTGACGTTAGTCACACAGCCTGGTCGGGTTACCCAAACACCGAAACAGAGTCATGTGTACTCACTTCACCCTTTTCAGTCATTTCCTTTTTTATCTTCTTGTTAACTTTCCTGTCTGTTTTCATCGCGGTTTTGTCTGCCCCTTTTAATTTCTTAGCTTTATCTTTCTTTTTACCCATTTTTGATGAACGTTAAAAACAAGACAGCCGGAAAGTTAGAATAGATATTTAGATATTATTGTACGAGCTACGTTAGCTTTCTCCACGGCAATCCACAGAGTCGATCGGTCTATTTGATCAACTTTGACTCTCACCGCCTCCGATATAGTCCCTTTGACTTTAAATACTAATTTTTATAAGGTTACTTTACTTATACGAGCGTTATTTTCACTAATGTGTCTTGGTTGTGGGGGCAGACATGTTTTACAGGGGTGTCAGTATAACATCTTGCTGTCAACATTGCCAAGAAATAACTTTAAATAAACTAAATATAAGAATAATTTAAACTATTTTAAGTAAAATAAATTTAACATTGAGTAAATTTAAATTTGGAATTATAAAAGTATACAGTAAAAATACATGTATAATACATGGCTAAGAAGGCAAGCAATTTCGACTCGCAACCAAAAACAGTCGCCCCACCTAGCAGGAACGAGGAGAGATATGAGTTGGTAATTTGGGATGTCGTGTAAGAATTTCGAATATTTTTTGTGCGCGTTTATGTAGGATTCAGAACGCTTTATAGCGCAGATTCTGCACATCATGGTCTATAAAGAAGAAGTACTATCATGGTTCAAAGATTTGCCTGGAGCTAAACGCATAGACTTCATGTGCAGATTAGTGCATTTCTGTGTGCCACTTGAGCTGCGATTTTTTGGAACATGCGTCGAAGACCTCGCAAAGCGAGACTTTCATTACCTCAGGGATTTAGAAAACAAGTCTAACTCTGCCTCAGAATTAACTAAACTAACAGATGTAACGGATTGTGCTATGCGAAGTAAGCTCATAATTACTCTAACTTTGCTGTACTCGTCGAACTACACGTGTTCAAATCTACTGTTCAGAACGTTGACCAATCTCGAATCCGTGTTGGACAATCTGCCAAAAAATGAGAAAGTTGCAAATGAACTTCAGTTGCTTTTCACTTTGTCAACCAACCACCCTGCTTTCACATCTGAGCAAAAAAGAGCATTCAACTTGCTTCTCGAAAAAGTGTGCCGCATATATGGAAGCTTCTTACCAGCAGTAAGTTTTAAATATTTGCAATAATATTTTAATTACGTGTTTGCATGATTTATCACATATATGCTAATAGTAATAGTAATAGTAATAGTAATACTACTACTATTACTACTAGTACTACTAGTAGTAGTAGTAGTATTAGCCGTAGTTGTTAGATCATAGATGTATACAGTATAGATTTAAATGTATCATAAAATGATACTATATAACTATATGGGCCCCCATCCTGCGATATATGTACATATTCACAATAGTTGTGTTTATTATTGTGAGTATTAGTAATACTGAGTATTAGGCCAGGGGCGGATCCAGAGGGGGGGTCGAGGGGGTCCGGACCCCCCTTTTTATGGTGTGGTGGCGATTTTACGCATTAATTAGTCGTACGGTAAAAATACACGCCCCCGGACCCCCCTAGTTTCCCCCCTGGGTTCTCCCCAGGATGAAATTCAAACAGGGGGGAGGGGAGGGGTAGGGGGAGGGGGAGGGGGGAAACTAGGGGGAGGGGGGTGACATCGTACCACTACTAATCTTGAAGCCCACAATAGTCACGTGGTTGGCGGAGTGACTTTCACTGTAAAATATCAGCTGCCTCCTGCACTCCTGCACTGACCTGCAGTAATGGTAATAGCAACGGTTGCTATTACCATTACTGCAGCAGATGGGGTCGTTGTCGTATCAGGTACTACAGATATGTACCCGAGGTAGTTTTAGGTTGTTTAGTATTATGTTTATATTTTTATATAATTAGGAGGTAGTTTTAGGTTGTTTAGTATTATGTTTATATTTTTATATGAGGTATGTTTATGGTTAGGGTTAGGGTTAGGGTACACTTCTTGAGCATTACTGCAGGAGGCAGCTGATATTTTACAGTGAAAGTCATTCCTTGTTCTTCACCACTTTGTGTGTTTCATATTTATCATTTCTAAATTTGTAATGATTTTATGGGAACTTTATATTGCTCATCACAACTGTAGTTGTAGCCTGTAGTACGAGGTGTAAAATTAGCAGTGTCAGCTGTAGTAACAATAGCAGAAGTAGCAGCTATTGATTAGCAGTTTTAGCATTGTACATAGCGCATTAGCAGGAGTATCTGATTCTAAAGGGAAAGATAGCAATGGCAGTAGTAGTAGTGAGAGCAAGATGTTCTAAGAATATGAGTTATGAGATTAATTTCATTTATGATATATGACCTATAATAAGGCTGTGTTTTGCTTATGATATTTAAAATTCTAATACACCTATGAACTGAATTTCAGGATCTTTGTCACGAAAATAATAGCAACCTGACTACTGAGATGCAGAATCTTGAAAGGAAGTATGACGATGAAGCTGGTAGGTTCAACACTTGTGCAACTCTTACGTGGTTTATCGAGGGTGTACTCGCCAACTGTAAGCACGAGTGGACATCCCATAAAAGTGTTTCCATTCACATTGCGAGTAATGGTGTTAGGAATTATAAAAACAGTCTCTATAAACTTGCAATTTTGGCCACAGTTCCCCATCACCAGAGACATGCTTGACATGTAGCATATAAAATTGCGGTGAGTAATGCTTGAGCTGATCTATCTTACCTGAAACCTCTAATTAATGTGTAGTGGACAGACAGGTGTGGTCGTTATTTCGTGCGGCAGCTGGTGAATGCATATTCCATTTATGTCGTGTCAAAGCATAATGAGCTGGTGCCAGTCATATTATATTATAATATGTATGCGATTAATCAATATATTCACATCAGCCTATAACATGTATTTTTGCTGATACCTATAATTTATAAACCCATTAAGAAGACTCTATGTATAGGTTAATTAGGTATTTATTAGGAATATAAAATGTAATTCAGAGTAACCAGGAGCTGAAACTCATTACAAATGCATGTGAACAGGTGCTCATGCATACTATCACAGATAAAATGCGCTGGTACTACTACACTATATAATTCAATTATCGTTAGTCATATATTTTCATTAAAATACTTTTGTATTTTTATCCAAGTTAACAGTCGGAAAGTAATAGAAGATTACAACCAATTGCAAGTTTCGTTTAACCAAATAAGGTAAGTTTTCGTTTTCCTAATTTTCTGTGAATCTTGGATGTTTTGTTCGTATCTTTTTCCTGCTTATTGACACTTGATGGATAGACATCGTCACATGTACACAACATGAGGTTAACCTAATATTTTAATGGTATTCAGTGTTTCCCCTGGCCAAAAAGGTCTGTGAGGTGGTAAAAATTTTTTGGTGTGTTTTGCGCGTGTAACAAAGCGAGCACCACAGGTGCTCGCTCAGTTAGGGGGTCCAGGGGCATGCCCCTCGAAAAATCTTTAAAGAAATGGTGCAATTTGGTGCATTTCACGCTATTTTGGTGCATTATAAGCACTGTTCTATGGAAGAACATTGACTTTCATCAGTGAGGCGGTGTTTTGGACAAATCTCTGCGCAGCGGCTGAGAATTTGAGCGAGGCGGCCCGCCTCGCTCGTGTCAATGCAGGTGAAACACTGGTATTAATAATATAATAAATCCATGAGTTTCACGCTATAGCAGTGATATCATGAGGAATAATGTGTTTGACTATTTCTGAAACAGCAAGGAACTAGAACAGTATCAGAGAGCTTATCAAGACCTACAACAACAGCAGGAACAGCAGGAACAGCAGGAACAGCAGGAACAGCAGCTAGAACAGCAGAGGAAACAAGAACAGCAGCAACAGCAACAAGAACAAGAACAGCTGCAACAACAGAAACAAGAACAGCAGCAGCAACAAGAACAGCAGCAGCAACAAGAACAGCAGCAGAAACAAGAACTGCAGCAGCAACAAGAACTGCAGCAGCAACAAGAACAGCAGCAGCAACAAGAACTGCAGCAGCAACAAGAACAGCAGCAGCAACAAGAACAACAAGAAAAACAACAGCAGCAGCAGCAAGAGCAACCAGACATACAGCAACCTCCTCAAGTTGCCAACCCAGATCAGTGTGAGTTTATCGCTTTCATATTCTAGTAGGCCAATGAATGATTATAAGTTCAAGGGGAAGCTATAGTTATATCCTCTTTGCCAAAAGTCTGAATCCTATTAAACGAACTGGGATAGATAGCAGCTTCTTGATTAATGTTATAGCTTGATATGATAGCTCTAATATTACATGGATTTGTTTATTTATACTTAAACCTTTTTGTAGCGCAAGTAAACGAGATCAAGTCAGCTGACGATAAGTCTAACGAAAATCCGGAGCAGGTATGATTTGTTTCATTAATAGCAAAATTGAATTGGTATTTAACAGTGCATAAAATGCATACCTAGTTGAATCTTGCTGGACTAACATTGACTGTGCTTTTTCACGCAAGAAATGGAGACAATAAAATTGCATTCATGATTAGGTGTGGAACGCTGGCCAGGTAGATGGAGTAAAGCTACCACAGGTGGGAAACGCTGGCCAGGTAAATGAATTGCAGCCTCCACAAGAACAGCAGCAGCAACAAGAACAACAAGAACAACAACAGCAGCAGCAGCAAGAACAACAACAGCAGCAGCAAGAGCAACCTCCACAAGCATGGAACGCTGGCCAGGTAGATCAAGTAAAGCTACCACAGGTGGGAAACGCTGGCCAGGTAAATGAATTGCAGCCTCCACAAGCATGGAACGCTGGCCAGGTAGATGAAGTACAGCCTCCACAGGTGGGAAATGCTGGCCAGGTAGATCAAGTACAACCACAACAGGTGGCTGGCCAGGTAGATGAAGTAAATCCTCCACAGGTGGGAAATGCTGGCCCGGTAGATGAAGTACAGCCACAGGTAGGAAACCCTGGCCAGGTAGATGAAGTACAGCCTCCACAGGTGGGAAATGCTGGCCAGGTAGATGAAGTACAGCCACAGGTGGGAAACCCTGGCCAGGTAAATGAATTGCAGCCTCCACAAGCATGGAATGCTGGCCAGGTAGATCAAGTAAAACCACAGGTGGGAAACCTTGGCCAGGTAGATCAAATAAATCCACCACAAGCATGGAACGCTGGCCAGGTAGATCAAATAAATCCCCCACAAGCATGGAACGCTGGCCAGGTAGAACAAATACAGCCAGCAGAGGCATGGAACGTTGGCCTTGGACTAGCACGGCCAGGTCATGTTCAGCAGCAACAGAAGGAACCAGAAGTTGGGCCGCAGCAGCAGCAGCAGCAATTCGAACGAGAGGTAGAAGCAGCCAGTTGAGCGGCAGGCTGTCCGTAGTTAAATCTTTCGTGTCGGCGAGTGTTTGCACAGTCGCTGGCGATCACCCTGTCTGCTTCAGTAGTGTATGGATGTGTTTGAGCGTGCGCGTGTCTACTCACTCACCACTGACCGTAGTCTGCACATGGGAGGCACTGCTGCGGTGATTGTTGCGTTTCATCCTGGCCTAAACGTTTGTTTCGTGGTGTTCGTCTGCATTATCAGTGCTGTTGTTTTTACCGAACGTTGCTACAGCTTGGATATTGTGCAGGGTAATATCAGCGCAGATGCATTTGCTGTGAGGTTGTTGGCATTGTCCTCTGTTGTGTTTCCCATAAGACCAGGGTCAGGTATGGCTACGTACACAGAGGTGCACGTCTTGTCCTTCTAACCCTGTGGAAATCCTGAAACTAAGACTGGTTTTTATCTCAAAATATCAACAATGGCACGGAACTTTATTTGTTTTAAAGTTCCTCCATGCAAAGCATACATTTAAAAACGGCGACCGGCCACATACATGTGGTATTTCATTGTTGTGGTCAATGAACGTATTCTCCCTCTCAATTTGCCCCTGAACATGAATAACCATTGAGGTTAGTTTGTGGAGCTCCACAGAGGATTATGACAGAGTTTTGGTACATTTTATGTTGCTTGTTTGTCTTGCTGTTTATGTTTCGACTGCCATTTACTTTTTGTACACCAAATAAATGAATTCGTACATTTCCTGTGAGACACATCTCAACGATTTTCCGTGCAATAATCGTGTACGTAGCAAGTTAAAGTTACGTAAAGTTTGTTACAGTCAATCCCGAGTTCATGAAATTCTGTATGTCGTTGGAGTTCTCGTCTTAAAACTCGGGTATTCACAATTAACATTTAAAATTTAAATTTAAAACTTGAAAATTTCTTTAAACACATCGTGTAATACCGACCTCTTACTGACGCGTTACGTTTGTCTTCGGACTTTATGCATGTTATCAGGAGTCTATCAATATATTGATAGACTCCTGATGTTATTATTGTCGCGTCATCGATTCGTTCTCCGTTTTTTGTAGGCCGACGACAGGGTTGAGGCTCAGGAACAGCTAGCGTTGCAACTGGCCGAACAGCAGGCGGCGTTACAGCGGGTACGCCCCTAACCCTAAATTTCTGCACCCCCCACAGGCGGGAAGGGTATATAAGGAGGAGAGGAGAGAACACGCTGAAAAGCACGGTTTTTTTTCAACTGTAAAAAGTTGTGAGAAGAACCTGAAGAAGACTGCCGCAATTCGAAACTAGTCGTTCATTGCTAATTTATTTAGCATTTGTTAATCAGAACACTTTGTTTTAAAATGGCATCTAATAACCGACGTATTGAAACAACATGGGGTAGTGGAGCGGTGCCCCGTAGAGGACGTCCAGGCCTCTTCTTCACACATGTCTTTGTCGCGCTCTCTCATTCATCGCCGGCGACGTAAAGATTGCACTCCGCGTCTCCCTCGCGCGCTTGCTGTGCCGCGATTCTTACTGTGATGTGATTCTCACTGTGCCGCGATTCTCACTGTGATGTGATTCTCACTGTGATGTGATTCTCACTGTGATGTGATTCTCACTGTGATGTGATTCTCA